TGGACTCACTCTTTCACTTCTTTGGATGTGAAGTCCAGGTAGCGGTTGCTGATCCACTGCACCTCAAACCAGTCCCTGTAGTTAGTATTACCACAGCACTGGAACTCAATCTGTAAACGGTCAATAGTCTCCTTCTGGAAACAATGGCCTGGTGTGTCTGTATCCTGTAGAGGTATAGAACATCAGATAACTACTTTAAAGTTCATTAAGAGAAATATGTATGACTTGAAACCCTGCAATTCAGTTCAATACCAAATTCTTTCTATTCTTTGGATTTTATACTTCAGTACATTATGTTGTCCTGCCTTTGGAAATATTTGTTTGAATTAAGTATTGTCTAGTATACAAAAGGCCTCTGAAATGCCAGATTTATTCATTAATTCATTCATTTCAATATCTATAGGACTCTGCAATGCCAGATTTATTTTATTTATTTATTTCAATAAAATGTAAAGTACTCTGAAATTCCACATTTATTCAAATAAATAAATATCTAGCACTTAAGTATCTAGCATAAGTCCAATAGTATTTCAAAAAATCTGTTGTGATTTCCACGGGAAACTCAGATATTTCTTGTTATTTTATTTCACACATGGAGGAAATGTGTAAAATATGTCCTCCATGTGTAAAATAAAATAACAAACAAGAAATTTCTGAATTTTAAATGTGAATCACAGCTAAATTTTTTGAAGTAATTAAAAATATTTATGCACCAAAACAAGATATTATATGAGACCAGAGAGCACTATGTAAATAACACGCACACACACACACACACACACACATAATATTATATATATATAATATGACGTGTTTGTGTGTGTACTGTATTTGTATACTGTATATGTATGTGTAAGCGCTTTGCCTAAATTACTAAATCATATCAAATGACACCTGATTGCTGTTAAATAACTTTTAGACCCCACTTTATTCTTTTTGTCTTTCTCTCCTCAACCTTGTAGAAGCGGATGCCGTTCTTCAGCCCGATCTTCAGAGACTCCTCCAGGCTGGGCTGCAGGGCGAAGCTCAGAATCATGGCCACCAGCAGCAGGGAGGTGATGAAGACAGAGAAGCAGAAGCACGGAGGAAGAAACGTCTTCCAGCGTGGGAAACGTGAGGGGTCCAGTGAGTCCTGGCAGACTTTACCAGCACAGATGTTGATGCC